GCTCAGTGGTAGAGCATTCGACTGCAGATCGAGAGGTCCCCGGTTCAAACCCGGGTGCCCCCTATCCATAATTTTTTTTCTTATTCAAAATTTAATTTTTTTTAAATATTAATATTTATATTATAATACATTTGATTTTTATATTTTGTGAACGTAAATATATTTTAATATTATTACACTAATATTATACATACGTAATATTATTACACTATATATGTAACTATAAATACATTATAACACGTATTCAAATTTAATAATATATTTGTGGAATATTTTTGGAAGGTTTATTCTAGAAAAAAATCTATTTTGTACTACAAAAAAAAGAAAATTGATATACAAAAAGATTTATTTATTAAGTTAGTAAGATACAAATCTATTTTATTTTTGTCTAATGTGAATTTAAATTGCTTATAACTTAATAACTTAATAAATAAATTTCAATCGATATTTTTATATATTATTTTATATATTATTTTTCTTGAAATTCTTTAAAATCAATTCTCCAAAAGTATTTTACGAATATATGAATATCCTATGTATCATTTTTTTAATTTACAGGAATTATTTTTAAGAATACATATTAAAAAGTATATATACATATATAAACATATATATGTAATATTTATCTTATAAACTATTTTTATTATATATTTTATAAAACATAATATATCAGTATATATTTTTTATTTAATTTATTTTTCTAATAAATACAATTAATGAATTAATTAAATAATTTAAAATAAGGATTTTTATAAAAAGTTTTTAAATAATAAATTTAAATTAAATAAAAATTTAAAATATAAATAATAATAATAAAAAGTAATTAAATTATAATTATCAATGTAATAGATAAATAAATTAATTATAATAATTTAATGTATGATAGTAAATGACAACATCATAACATATTTAATTGTAAGTTCTTGGAGTGGGAGAATTCGCAACGATTGATGGGCTATGGCGACGTGTAGCATGAATTGTTTTTGATATTCTTCTTGAAAATAATTGGGTTTGGAGCCCGAAAGCAATAAAACTTCCTTTGTTATTTTGTGTTTTCTAATAAACAGTTAAGAAATTTAATTAGAAAATCATGAATTATAATAATTCCAGTTCACGACGAGGTAAGTTAATCCATGAAAATAATTTTTTTAATTTTTTTCTCAATCATAGCTTAAATTTGATATTTATCATTTACATTGATAAGAAATTATACATATATTTGTTAACATATTTTGTATTTATTGGTATATATTAAAATATATCGTGCATGTAATATCGTGCAATATTATTTAGAGGTTATGATTCCTAAGATTACAAATTAATTTATTTGATAAGTATTGTTTCTAATTTCCATATTGAATATAATATAAGTTATAATATTTTATTATAATATATTATTATATAAAATGATTTAAATGAAAAATATTTAATAGGAAAACCAAAAAGATTACTTGATCCATCTGCTGGTTTATCTCCACCACCATCAATACCTCAGAATCCATATATGTATAATCAACAGGTAAAATTTAATAAATATAAAAAAAAAACATAAATTAATATATGTTATAAGAAATCATGTTTCTATGAATTTTATAGATTCCTATGGATAATGGTATGATACCAGAATATGGTTTCAATGTACCAGAACAACAGCCTCCGCCATATGGATTTAATACAGTACCAATGCAACATTATTCATCTCCTGAAGGTCATGGTGATGATTATTCATCATCACAATTTGCAACACAATTATTAACACAACCAATAGTTACAAATATGGCTGTACAATATGGAAATACTTTAGTTGGTTCTGGAAAACAACATTTTGAAAGATATGTGCCAGTTACAGCTTTGAAATATTATTTTGCTGTTGATACAGATTATGTTATGTCAAAGCTGTCTTTATTATTTTTTCCTTTTACTCATAAAGTAAGTTTTGTTAAATATAGGAAATGAGTTTAATTATTGTTAAACAAATATAAATAATTAATTATTTTTAACAGGACTGGTCTGTGAAGTACGAACAAGAAGTACCACAACAACCACGTTATGAAAAGAATGCACCAGACCTATATATTCCAACTATGGCATTCTTAACATATATAGTTCTGGCTGGAATAGTTTCAGGAACTCAGCAACGTTTTAATCCAGAACAGTTAAGTATTTTGGCTAGTTCTGCTCTTGCGTGGGATGTCATAGAATTAGTTGTACACATTGTAAGCCTTTATGTGATGAATCTCGAAACAAGTCTTTCAACATTAGATATATTAGCTTACTGTGGTTATAAGTATGTTGGTATTAACGCAGCTCTTTTGGTTTCATTATTATTTCGAAAATTTGGTTATTATCTAGTTTGGCTATATACTAGTATATCTTTAGCATTTTTTCTTATACGGTCATTAAAATTAAAGGTCATTCCACAAAACCAGGGCGCATACACAGCTTCTGGTAATAAAAGGAGACTCTATTTTATACTATTTGTAGCAGGCATTCAACCTATACTAATGTGGTGGTTATCATATCACTTGCTTTAATTGGTAATTACATAAATTGAAATACGTTTGAAGAAAACGAAATGTGTATATTTATTTGATTATTCACATCATATGTGCATTTTTATAATAAAAATTTCTTCAAAAAATTATTCATTATTCATTAAATGAACCTATTATTTTTTCTTGTATTATCTTTGCTCTACTGTAACTTTTATGTACAAACAAAAAAATCTATAATAATCGTAAATTGTGTCAAGATTTTTTACTAGTTTTTTACCAATTTTGTACAATTTTATATTGATTAAAATATAGAATTATAGAATGCATTCGAAAAACATTATCGACTGTAAAATTACTTCGCGAATGATTCCATAGCGGATACATAATCCGTGCTCGTTTACTTCCGTTATTTTCCGAAAGGTGTCTTACTTTTCCGTAATTCTTCGTCGACTCACGAAACTGTCTTCGTATGGCGCCACGAGCGAGATTACTCAGTCAGTCAGCCGCGAGCCGCGGTGAACTGAAGGTGTGGTGAGTGTTTCTGTGGGCCGACGGGCCAAAAATGGCGGAGCGTACGAAGACGACAGCCCCGGCCACCCGGCCCGTTCCTATGAAGCTGTTTGCCACTTGGGAAGTGGATTGTACTGCACCGAATTGTATACCCAGGTAACCAATAAATAATATTAGATTCTTGAACAATTTTCGTATTACATATGATACTGGCGTTGTTACTTCGTGTCATTGTGGACGCCAGACACTCGACGGACATTCACACGCCCTTTTTTCCACAATCACTCGCATTTTTCTCTTCGCACCCTTGCCTCAAGGCCATCAATCTTCGCGTACTGTTTTGACCTTGTATCGGATTAACGTGTTTCTTTTATAACATACGCATCATAGGTTATTCGAGATGCGTGTCAGGTTGGGGCTGCGTGGCGCGCACTGTCTATTGTAGGATGCTACCTGTCAATCGGATGTGACAGATCACGGAACGTGCATCATAATCTTGATTTCAATGTTCACAGTAGTTTTATCTCGCCGGTATTCAATCGATATTATTCTAATCCCTGCGATTTTCTCTTTTTTCTCATTTGTTTATGTTCGATAATTTAACTTGATATGTAAATAAAAACAATTCGATAGAGGATGAAAGAATAATTAAAAATTTTGGTCTGGATTTATCGATATTGTATCATGAACGAATTATTGCGACGTTATAATAGTAGATGGTTAGGCGCGAACGAAAAAACGACAAATCAAACATCGTATGTCGATTGTGCGTGTATGTTCGTTAGGTTAGAATACGTTTCGGCGAAGTTCTCGCTTTCGTGCAATAGGGTATCATGTTCGAATGTCATGGTTGTCCGTTTTCATGGGCGCGTTAATTCGACCTTAGCTTGTGTTTCATACATCGCAATATAACATCGCGTTGAATCACTTCTTTCTTCGTTATGTATTTTTTGTTTGTTTCATAATATTCGAAAGTAAACAGAAATTTTCATTAATGATATATGTAATATATTTATATTAATCTAATTCGTTCTACAGTGACATATAATTTAAACGATTATCTTTGAAATTTAATTTTCTATTTGCTCCAGCTGGCGTTGAGGTTTTAATTAAAATTTAATTATCGCAATATAGAGAAATTTTAT